ATACACACACACACACACGCATTTGTATACACACGCACATTCGTATACATATATACATACATACATGCATACATACATACATACATACATACATACATACATACATACATACATACATACATACATACATACATACATACATACATACATACATACATACATACATACATACATACATACATAAAGAAACATGCGTGCAAACATAATGTACCGAAACACAAGTGCTAGAGTTAGTGCGCATATAGATGAGTAAAATGATGACGACGACGGCGGCGAAGAGGATAATGTAGATGCTGATGATGATATCGTAGGTGATGAAATAGACGACTTTGGCGATGAGTGATTCTAGTGAATTGTTTATTTGAAAACATTAAAAATATGAAAAAATAATAAATAGCCAATAACAATGATATCATTATTAACTTTGATAAGAGCGGACGTGATAACGCTGGTGAAGAAAGTGTTATCATCAGTAACAATATTTGTGGCGGCAAATGTAGCGTTGTTATTATCACGTGACTTTATGGGTTTTTACCGGCAGTAAAAATAGCGCGGTAACCGTGTGACTGCATGAATAATGAACATTTTCTTCTTCCTGTTCGCATGTAAGTGTGCACGTTTTTTAGATACATCTTCAATTTATGACGTTCTATATAACTTTTTATTTGTTGTTGTTTCGTTTTCGGCAGATTTTTTTCGGCTCCGTGTTCAATTTTGGGAAATTTATTTCCATGGAAATATTTATCATCTTGCCAAAAAAAAGTTTCAGCGGCACGAGTCGTTCATCATCACCCATCCGTCCATCCGTTTGTTTGTCATCTGAACATCCGTCCATCATTTACCATTTGTGTCCTTCCATTCATCAAGATATCTAATTATTTATTTACCTCAAAAATGAATTCATTCACCCATTCATTCGGTTGTTCATTCGTTCATTCATTCATTCATTCGTTCGCTCGTTCGTTCGTTCATTCGTTCGTTCGTTCGTTCGTTCGTTCGTTCGTTTGGTCATTCATTCATTCATTCGTTAACAATTCCTTAATCTTTCTATCTATCCTTCCACTCAATCCTCCACACATTTTTCCATTCATTCCACATCTATCCATCAGCCCTGGCATCCGTTCCTCCACTCATTTGTTATACATCTTGAGGTAACCTACCAGCCAGTGAACAGAAAACAGAAAAGTCGGCAGGAGTTTGATTGATAACTTGGCAATAATAGATTTTGTACGCGTGCGTTTATTCGCGGTATCTGGAGTATCTTTTAAGGTATTTATTTTATTTATCAATCACGTGTTATTTTTTTTTATTTTTTTTTATATTTAAAATTTTAAAATTACAATTGAATTAGATGCAGAAACAGATGATGTGGTGAAACATGATGTGGTTGCATCTCCAACTGGTATACAAATAAGCGTACATATTTCAAATGTGTCTTATTAATTAAATTAATCGTATCTATAATAATAAAATATACCATGGATATCTGCTGCTTTTGCAATGTGTACCATCATGTGTTTTTTTGGAGGGTGTTGTCATTGTTTGCTCTTGAACAGGAGTGTCTGCAAATGATGGAGTGCCTGCGTTTGAACGTACGAAACGTATTTCGATTGATGGAGAAAACGTTTTTAATATCCTGATATCACATTTTGAGTAAATCGTAAATCAATAAATGCCTAAATACAATAGCGATAAATTTAAATAAATATATATAAATGTGTAAAACGGTTTGTGCAGACAAAGTTTTTTTTTATAGATCTGTGGGATTTCAAGTTTAATGAACTTTTGTAAAACTTGTTATGAAATTGAAATTTTTTGAGTTGCGGTACATAGTGCGAAAAATGAGGGTTTGTTATATTCAAAACGGTTGCGAAAAATTTCATGTATACCAGTTGGAGATGCAACCACATCATCTGACCAAATTTTCAACTTGAATATTTTTAAATTTTAACAAAATTTCAGTGAAAAATGAAACAAATTGCATTTGTAAAAGCCCCCGACATAAATAAATTTTAACGCTATTAACGATTACAAAAATTTCATTTTTCTCTGGAATCATAGATTCGAATGTTTCGCTTCATTATAAGATAAATTATAAATTCTTATTGCAAACCCGACAATAATTTGAACATACTTGAATCGAAACCTTTGGAGAAAAACTTTTCCATAAAGTTATGGTTCATAAAGTTGCAAGGATTAAAGTCGAATTGCATTTGTCAAAAAAATCTTTAACTAACATGTACATCTGAACAAGCAGCAACACAAGCATGCTAGGTGAACGTGAATTTATCTTATCGGCCAGCCAGTCATGTTTCGGTGAACATTGTTGTTGCTGATACAGAATGCACCGCATTGCAAACATTCTTGCTGATATCCAATGCATTCCATTCATTTTTGCTTTCTGCGGTTTATTAGCAATTTTAAAACATTTCGAATTTTTCAGGTTTGTTATTTAAATTGCATTCTTATGTGCACGTTTTCAATGAAATGCTATTAGCTTGGGTTTGGGTAGCTAGGTTACGAGAAGGTGATAGAATAATGTTTGCAAATGTGTTTGTACATGTGCCTCAGTGAGCTGTGTTTGTTTATATGTGAGTATGTTAAAGATGTGTACATGCAAGTATGTGGCAATGTGTTCCACACTCAACTCTTATGTTGTTTCCGTATGAGTGGTCATGATGTAGTTATACTACGCTTCTACACGGAGTTTGAAAATTTTTACGATTTATTGTCAACAAAATTGTCGAAATAAACTTTAAACACAGCAATAAACATGATATAAAAAAGTCATTCTCTCATAATATGCTTCAACAAAATTGAACGCTAACAAAATTATAAATTCGCTTACACGTGTTTACAAAATCTACATGTTTAATGTTACTGGTTAATGAATCAATATTTAAAAAAGTACATAGGAAAAACACGAGGCTAAACAGTAACGGCTAACATGTAAAAGTTTATGACTTAATTTGAAATAAGACTATTATAAACTTCATTTTTATATTAATACTACTTTTTAAACGTTTACAATAATTACATTTATAAGAACAATTGAATACAAGAAAAACATTTCCAACGCATATCCTAATACACAAAGATAGACGTTTCAAACAGTAAAAAAGCGTGAAGACTTCAGAAATCTCCACAGATGGCACATGAATCCCATGATGACCTAATTATTTTTCATTCCCGAGTTGGCGGATCATTTTGAATGTACTTTTGATGGAACCTGATGGGGAAAGTGATGTTTCATAAAATTTTTTGAAAAAGAAATCATTTGGAATGCGTGGAAGAACATTATATGGTTATGAATATTTGTGTAGTTTATTTTTATTTATAATTTATTTGCCAAAACAACAAGCTTATTGAATATTTCAATTAAGTAAGCATGAATTAATTGTATATATATATAACATTTTATTTGGTTTCATATCTATAGATAAATTAAATGTTCTAGTAAGCAAACAGTTTTTTTTTAATTTCTTAATCACCTCACGAAAACAAATTGAAAATTAATACTGAAATAAATGTTGATAGTTTTGCTTTTGACAGAAACAAAAACTTGTTGTAAACGAATTGCACTGGCACAAAAACATACATTTTCAAACTTCTTAATTTTCCAAGTAGATTCAACTTTTTCTTGATTCTTGTCCAACATTGAACTCATTCTCACTGAAATTGTCTTGTTTGGCTTAATTCTAGCTTTACCCTTCAAAAGATAAATCCGTCTAGCCATCAAAATCATGAGCAAAAGAATTTTTTAAATTTTCGGTATATAAAAAACCATCAAAGTTTGACAATCAAAAAATTTGTTAAAATTTGTCAAATTTGTTGGACATCATATTAGCAATGTACTGCAACTTTCATTATTCAAAAAAAATTTAAACGAATGGTTGAATTTCTATTATACTGGGGTACTTGATAACAACAAACCAAACAACAATTAATCGAGTGAACTTTTATCGTCAGATATATACAAATCGCGAGAAACACAACTTGGTGACCATTCAATTTGACCAGTCAGCCAACAGACAACCTCTTTTCACACACACACACACACACACACACACACACACACACACACACACACACACACACACACACACACACACACAAACACACAGACAGACAGACAAACATAAATCATTCACAAATAAATAAACAGCGAAAAACCTTCAGATGAAGTTTCAAATGTTTCTTCCTATTGAAGATCTCTTGTTGTTCCATCCATTCTCTGTGGTACTTCAACTCCAACAGGTCTTGTAACATGGTTTTCGTCATCGATGTTGTTGTTTGGTCTTTCGCAACGTGGCGAGGTTTGCTGGTGATAAAAATTTTCAAATATGTTTCACCATATTATTTATATTTTCGAAAAATTGTTTTGAAATTTTAAAAGTTAGATGTGAAAAGCTTGTCTAAGCAAAAAAAAATGACAAAACTTTTCTGACTTAAGCAAATCATTGAAGAGAAAGAAACGCATGAAAAAAACTTAAAGCTGTCAACGCAGAACAATGTGACACATGCAATTATGTAGGAGCCAACTTTACAAGTTTTACAAAATAAATCGTCATCTTTCAGTTATGAAGAAAACCTCAAAAATTGAAAAGTCTTTTATAAAAAGTTGAGATAAGCCTGGGAAGAAAATGCATTAATGCTCCAAAGAACTTGATAATATTCAGAAAAATATTCATAATATTAAGAGACCTTTAGAACGAAAAATAAAAGAAAAAAATAACATAAAATTTTCAAGTAATTTTTTGTAAAAGAAAAATAAAACTGAGATAAAATCTCGTAAAAAAGAAAAGGACAAGTCCAGGAAAAAAGTGAAGATGGAGTGAAAGAAAGATAAGAACAAGCGAAAGAATGAAGACAAGTTGAAAGTACTTTGTAAGCAGGTCTGTGCATGTCAGAGTGCCGTCGTTGGAGAATTCTTAAAGAGATCAAAAAATATGACGTGAAAAATTCAAATTTAAAAAAAAATATTTTTTGAATTTAAAATTTTATAATATGATAACGCAAAGTAGGCACATATCAGTTTCAAATATGCAAGGTTTCATCTGTTTCTTCGCACCAAAAATTTTGCCATTTTCGAATTTATTATTATTTTTATTTTTAATAGTGTTGTAGTGCTTGTCCTCGTTGTCAACCTTCTTTTGATCATCGATATCCAGCCAGTTCAAAGCTGGAAAAAGGAAACAGTTTTAAAATTTTTTCACGGAAGTATAAATTTTTAATATTACGAGTAAAAATTAAACCATAATTTTTAACGATGATAATAATTTGTAAAAATTAATTTTATTATTATTTTATGATTATTATTTTCATTATTTTTCACGATGTTTGTTTTGCTTTCAAGTTTAACTTTTTTATTCTTAGAACTTAACCAGCAAAGTCAAACTCCGCACATATGGCGCAAATATATCACACATCAGAATCAATAATTGAAATTTTTTTATTTTCATAAAAGTTCTCTAAATTAAAAATAAAAATAAAAGAGAAAAAACATGGCGAACCCGAGGCAACATCAGAAAGTTTGGTGGGGCCGGGTCTGCCGTACACCACATTACCACCATGATAACTGTTTGAACTATAACCTCTTGGTTTAGATTTACCCAACTCACTCTATCTAAGAAAGAATTTTAAATATTTATAAAAAAAACTTTCAAATTGCAATCAATTTCAAAATGAAAGTCATTAAAATTTTTGAGTTTTCAGACTGAAATTTTCCTAGATCTTGAATGAACAAGTGTACATCATTAAACAACTATTCAAAATAGTTTATTAAAAAATTTTGAAAATCAGAACGCATTTATCTATTGAGAAAATATTCTATTTATGAGTTTTTTCCCATTATAACAAAATTGCAAAAATCCAAAGAATCGATTTGAAATTTGCAGAGAAAGCCTTACTGAACCTTAATGAGGATTTCATTGGATAACATGCTTTTCCTCTTGACTCCGAGATTTCCCGTAAGTGTGTTTCTGTATTTTATCATTCTTTCTTCCCTCTGGAATGATCATACAAAAATTCATCGGTATTATAAAATATAATTGTATTAATTTTATTTTTAGTGAGAACAATCAGACAAAAATACACATACTAATTATGAACCATATTTTAAAAGATATTCTAAAATATGTACCTATTTAGTATCAAAAATACACTAAATAAATAAATAAAGAAAGAAAGTACATTTAAAAACAAAATATATCTGAGTAAGTAACACAAATTTGCAAAAAATTCTGAACTGCTAAAATACCCGTTGCTATGGAAACCGTAGCTATGGAAACCTAATTGTAGAAATATAATTAGAGGAATGCAAAGACATTTAAATGCATTTTATTTTCTTTTTTGAAATTGATAATTATTTCAATATAATGATGAAGTTTCATTGTAATACTGAAGATATTTGCCATAAAATATAAATAAATGTGTTATTGCGGGTGGGTGGGTGTGCTTCCGTGCTTGTGTATGTATGTGTGTGTGTGTGTGTGGTGTGTTTGTCATATATATAGAATATAACATTATGTTATATTCTATATATATGATGTGTGTTTTCGTGTGTGTCTGTGCGCGCGTGCGTGTGTGTCGGATTCGCGGAAAATTGAATTAAACATCTTGAAAACTTTTTCTCCAGTAAATTTTTTGCTATTTTTTAAAATTTAATTTTCAAAATTTTTCAAGCCTTTAAAAATAGTTTCTTATTTGTTGCCATTTAAAAATTAATTAGTGAGAAAGTTTAATCGTTAGGAGGAATTGGATTGACAAAATGAATCTAATGCTGATTATTTTTTTAAACAATTCAATCCAACAAACTCAAAAAACAATCATACTGACGAACTATACAAAGCAATGAAATGGTTTCAAAGTATAAAAGTCGGATGATTCGGAAGTTTTAATAAAATTTTTAGCAAACTTCCAGTCAAATAAATGATGGAACATACCCTAAAACTCTAATTCTTGGGTAACATTGGTTTGCAAGACATTCAAATATATTCAGAGACGTATAACTGTCTTAATCAAGCCATCAATCATTGGTATGTCAAGAGGAAGGATTAGCGAGCGAAAGCAGAGTGGAAAAAATTTGCAGAGCGAACAGTTTTTCGGTTTTGAGGACTTTTTAAGATAATTTTTATTTTCAAAGAATGAGTACCTGCAGTGCGTTTGAGCTTTATGTTTTTAATTGTACTGGAATATTAATCGCTTTTCTAGAAACATTCATCCAAATTCATTTTGTTTTATTATTAACCAGTGGTCATTTATTTCAAAAATTCATTAGATGAACTATTTTCATAAATAACAAAATAAAAATTTTCAGTTCGGTAAATTATTTCTTCTCCCAACTTCTAAAAATAAATTTTAAAAATGGAAAAAATGCTGAAAACTTCCTCTATTCATTTGCTCGATGACGAACGCCCATTTACATCAGGCACTAATTGCTCCATTTGTTCACAAAATTACTTGCAAACAGACTGGCAGGCAAGAACGTTCGCTCCTACCTTCCTTCATGAAATAATCGCCACTCACATCCTTTTTGTCTCTCTTCGCTCACACTTTCATTAATTCACCTGCCGTTCATTCATTCGTACATTCGATCATTCATTCATTCATTCGTCCGTCCACACGTTCGTTCATTCATCCATCCATTCATTTTTATTCTAACAAGGCAGCAAGCGACGTCGGCAGCTTATGAAGACGAAGACGTTCGTTGTGAAATGTACACAAATTTCTGTGTACTGTGCAGTTGTGTTGTGTGCACATGTGTGTGCGTGTGCGCGTGCCCGTGTGTGTGTGCATGTGTAATGCGTGTATGTACATAATATCAGTGGCTAGTTCACTCATAGAGTTATTTGTTCTTTCATCTTTTTGTCCGTTCATACATTTATTCATTTGGTCTTCATTCATTCATGCACTTATTCACTCAATTATTTCGATTTCGTCATAATCTTTCATTTGTTTAATCAATCCTTCACTCATTTAACAATATTTTAATCATTCACAATGTTTTACAAAATCAATCCGTTCATTATTCATTCATTTACTTCTTCGTTCGTTCGTTTGTTTGTTCGTTCGTTCTTTCGTTCATGGATTCGTGCGACTCTCAGTTCATTCATTCTCTCGTTCATTCATCCGTTTACGTGCATTCAATTATTTTATTATTTTTTCCTTCTATCTTTCCCATCACTCCAACATTTAGTCCGTCGTTCAGGGAATTATGAAGCACGTGATGCCAGGTGTATGCCTCTTACCTCTTCGTCATTCCCATTATTTGAAGATTACGAAGAAATAATACTATTATGATTACTTATATTTGAACGTTATTGCCGTATAAACTCAATGTTAGCTATTCCATTATGGTACAACTTCACATGTGATGTGCGTGTATCAAGAAATAAATTTCCAGAACACAAGCATCACATGAAAGTCTCAGCCAATCAAACGTCGATTATATCTTTTGTAAGAAAAGTTATTCACAAATATAAATATCAGAATGTTGAAAAAATATAAATGATATAATGAAAAACGAAAACAGGTAAATTATTTAGAGTTAGCTGTAGGTACAAAATGTTTCATGATTGTCTTACGATGGCTTACGATTGTAAGATGGCTTACGATGCACTCTGCCTCAGATGATGTTCCCGCCAAAATAGAAACATCAACTTTAGCAAGACAGCTGATGTACGCCACTTGTATATCCATATACACAAACAGACAAACACACAAAAACATACTCATACACTACACATACATCTACACAAACATACAAACAAAAAAATACACATACATATACACAAATAAGCGTTGTTTTAATAGGCGATAAATGTTTTTATCATTTGTCGATGATAATGAGTGCATATTGTTGTTGATGATGACGATGATGATGATAATGATGATGATGATTTAGGTGATGATGATGATTTAGATGATGATGAGGCATCACGTGATTTGACACGATCAAGATAGAATTGAAGATGAAAGGAGAAGAAAACATGAGATGTCACGGACGCATCAGGTCCTGTTAGCCTTGTAATCTTTCAACCTCCTCTCGCATATATTAAATCAGATATTCATCTCAATTTTTTTTCAAACAGGAAAAATGTGTTTGCATCGGATGGAAATGGAAATTCACGCAAATTGAGTTGGAAAAATTGTTGACATAATTTCTAATGCGACTTCTTCACGATTATCCGAATGACTTCGAGTTTCCATGAATTCCCCGCAGATTTAAAAATGTTTACCCAATGGCGCTTGTCAGCTGATGCACGCACGCACACATACACACGCACAAGCATGCACACACACACGAAGCTACACAGATGGGCACGACATATTCAAACAGAGTTAGAAGAAAAAAACAAGTGTGTATGTACAAGAATATAAAAAAAATACCTATTTTTGTAAAAAAAAATATAAAGACCTGCAAGAATACTGCACATAAGAGCCAGCTTGAAAAATGTAACCGTACTCATATGAAGAAAACATCAATAGATGATTTGCAAATGAAACAATGGTAGAAAGTTACATGCAATTATATGGATAGGTCCAAATATTTGACGTGACATGTTGCATCATTAATATGAAAGCAAAATAAAATGAACGGATGTACATTGAACTCTATACGCAAATTTTTCTGTTTCAAACTTATAAATTTGCAACACTAGGCACGTAACGTCACATGTGTAAAACAATAGACCCAAAAAGTATTTATCTATACGAGTATGAATTTATGCGCAAAATAAAATATGCAGATGCGTGCAGGTGAACGTAGGTAGGCAGGTCTTAAGTGTGAGCGAAAATAAAGATGAACGTGTGTGGGATGTTTATTCATCCAGCCAACATACAAAGAATTACTAAATATATTGTGGATTTACACGTCTTTGCTATGCTTCTTGTTTATGCTATTTTGTTTTGTCGTTTCGGCGGTGCTGTTGGCGTTTTTATTATTGTTGCTGTCATTAATGTCCTATTCAGATGCTATAGTAGATTCGAATTGTGTCATTTCAAATTGTTGTTGATGTTGATAATTGTTGATGACGAAGAAGATCTTGATGTTAACTTTGTTAATATCTTTGATGGTATTGCTGCCTGATGCTGCTGCTGTTGATGTCGTTGTTGTTGTTGTTGTTGTTAATGTTGTTGCTGTTGAAAAGTTATTAATGTTGTTCTGGTGGTCATTTTTGCTGAAATTTTGTTCTCGACGGGATCATTGGATTAGTTGATTTGTCGTTTTTATTACCGATGCTGTTGTTGTTGCTGTTGTTGTTGCTGTTGCTTTTAATGTTGTTGTTGTTGATGTTGTTGTTGTTGTTGCTGTTAATGTTGTTGTTGTTGTTGTCATTAAACTGTTGTTGTTATTGATGTTGTTTCTTTTGATGTTTTTATTGTTAATGTCATTATTGTTGATGTTGTTTACCTATATTACATGATGCTGTTTTTTTTGAAAATGTGATTAATTCAGCGTGAAATGTAATGAAGCAATCATACAATGATAATGAAACTAATTTTAAAATCATCGCTGACGATGATAATTTTAACGGTAAAGGACGATGACGAAAATGATAACGATGATGATGGTGGTGAGGATGATGATGATACTGATGATGAAGATTATGATGAAATTAATAATTATAATGGTAACGATAATGTTGTTCTCATCTCATGATAATGATGACGACAATGATGATGACGACGACGACGATGATGATAATATTGTTGATGATAGTGATGATGGTGAAAACTATGACGATGATGATGATGATGAGGTGTGCATGGCGTTCATGAAAAGATATTGAAAATCTTTCAACTTAAAATTACACGATGAAAACATTTTGTTGTTGTTGAGGTTGTTGGTCTTGTTCGCGTTGCTGTGATTGTTATTAATGTCGGCGCTCTTTTTGCTTTTGTTGTTGTTCTCATAATTGCTATTTAGCGTAATGACAGTATTGATAATGGTAATGTTAATTACTGATGATAATGCTAAAGTCTTGCTGATGG